CTATAATTAATGCTTAGTGAACAATTTATTACAAGATTTCATGACTCATATTTTAGCTTTCACTAATGGTAGTTTGTAATTTATATTTTACCATAGGAATTTCAGATACATCCTTTATGAAACATGGAAAAATTCTCTATTTGAGTAGGAGTACTGGTATCTACCAGTAGAAGCAAAAATGAAATAATAGTATTATGAACTGTGAATTTGAACAACAGCAAACAGGGTGAAGGTGAACAACCCTAAGCAATTAGCAGGATCATCTTAGTTTGCTCTTTTTCTGGGAAGAAATCAGTGAAAAATATTTTACTCTGTTAAGGTAAGAAATTAATATGTGGGGTAGAGTGGTACATCAATACAGTTCCATCACTTGTCTCTTTCTGCTGGGCTGTAGTTCTGATTTACCTGCTGAGGATTACCAAGCTCAGTACCTCAGGTAGCCCATGAAATATTGCCTGAGCATCTAGACCAAATTAGGTTTTCAAGCTCTGGCAGCATCCACTGTCCTATGGTGTTTGTACCAGCTGACATCTGTCCCAAAGCCATATTTTCTGAAAGAATCTGAATTATTTCTACTTTTAGGTTCCTAATCAGTACATATCAGAAGCTGCCCCACAACTGCTACTTCCTTCTGTCTTTGCCTTATTCCCATAAAAAGTTGTTTGAAGGAAAGAACTTTGAGCTGTCTATGAAGTAGTGCAAACTGATGTGGTGGTTTGGCTATAGCATGGTCTGAGCCAAACTTGGCAAAAGTCAGCATTAATGAAAAGCAGCATTAAGACAGAATGATTTTATGTGTTTATTTCCACCCCCATCCCCCAAGAGGATATTACCCAACTCGTACTGAAATCCAAAGACTAGAAGTGTGTTTGTGCCTTCACCACATACTGAGAAACATCCTCATCCACCTCTTCTTGCTCAGCTTCTCACCTGCAGAACCTTAGTGAGGTGGTGCTGGGCTGTGTGATAAGCAGTGTTCTGTAGGACACCAAGGTCACGTTGAATGCTGGACTGACAGCCAAAAGCCAGCATTAATGATAATTTTGGAGAATAATTATACTGGATTGGTGCCTGATACACACCCATTAGTGCCTGGCATGGCCGTTGCAACTGGTACAGCTGTGACACTCACAACTGTATTGGATCACTGCTCTCTTCTTGGTTTTGTCTGACACAATCCTTTTTACTGCTGAGTTATGTTCAGTAATGATTGTGAATTGCTAAGTTTGTGCCAGAAATAGCTGTAGAATGCAAGGAGAGGTTTTAAAGCTACACGAGGATAAAAGCATGGAGAGGTGGGTTAAACAGAGATGCCTGACATACTGACTTGTGATGGAATAATTGTAGTAACTTCTTGGTAAATGCTGTGGTCATACTAAGGAAACATTAACACTAAAGGTAGGATACTATAATAGACTTGCAGGTTATCTTTATTCACGTGTATTTCGGTGGGGTGTTCTTTGGTTGTTCGTTTTTGAATGATGGTTTTAATTATTCTGTGAAGTAATACAGAAAAATATGACCTTAAAACTTTCTTTGTGAATTAGTTGGTGAGGCATGTATGAAACTAGTCCTCTGGAGAGGTGTGATAACCGGGCATCTGCGGTAGCTATGTGAGCTTTAATGTGCAGTAACTCTAAGAGTGCTCTGCCTGTGTGTTCAGGTGAGTGTTAGTGCTCCCCTTTGCACAGGTGCAGCTCCATGGCAGTTTTCAGTTAGCTGTGACAGAATCACAGAATTGTTTGGATTAGAAGGGACTTTAAAGATCATCTTGTGACAACCCTCCTGCCTCGGGCAGGGCCAGTTTCCACTGCAACAGGTTGCTCAGAGCCCCATCCAACCTGGCCTGGAACACTTACAGTGATGGGGCATCCACAACTTCTCTGGGCAACCTGTTTCACTGCCTCACCACCCTCACAGTGAAGAATTTTTTCATATCTAATCTAAACCCACTCTCAGTTGGAAGTCATTTACTCTTGTCCTGTCACTACGTGCTCTTATAAAAAGTCCCTCTCTGTCTTTCCCATAGGTTCCCTTCAGGTACTGGAGGGCTGCAATTAGGTCATCCCAAAGCCTTCTCTTTTCCAGGCTGAACAAAACCAATTCTCTCAGCCCTTTCCTTGTAGGAGAAGTGCTCCATCCCTCTATTGGTGGCCTACTCTGGACTCGCTCTAACAATCCTGTTATTGCAGGATTTTTTGTTTTGCCCAACAGCATGTAATGCCTCATTTGAAGTCAATGCAGTCCATCCTAGTAAAGACTTCTTGAGGACTCTTAAACTCAGGGGTTACTCTCATGCACTCTGTGTGCATGAGATACGCCTGGATTGAGAATCCTTGAGGGAGGAATGGAGAAGGAAGTTGCCCAGGATACACACCACTGGCTACCTGCTTGAACAGAACTACCTAGCTCAAGAAAATCATCATTCCATCTTGCTCTGCAGTAAAAGCAAAAGTATCTTCTGCCCAGACAGCTCATGGGGTTAATAATTTTCCCGTTCCTTCTAAATAAGGTTGTATTCGTAAGAGAACTGGTGAGAGCCATATTGAAAGAATCAAAACTAGGAAAACACCATTTGGGGCTGTTTCTTTCTGGTCCATAGAAAGTGTTTAGAGACAGGCAATGGAATCATTTTTTTGATCAATTTTTTTATTAAGTTTTTGATGTGCCTTGTTTGTTCTAAATCAGCATATCCCTCAGGAATAGCTGTTGGTGCTCTGTTCCGTTTGGAAGGAGGGGCTTTGCTGCTCTATGATCTATCTTGTGTGTGTTTTTCTTCCCCCCTCTTAAGTGCACGGTGAAGGGAATTCCTTCCTGGATAGCTGAAGGTACACCCAACCATCACAGGAATGTGTGGTATGAGCCCCCTCAGAACACCTCCTGAGCCTTTCTGCTTGCTGATTAGCATGGTCTCTGCTGCTCACATCTCAACCCTCTCTTGTGCACAAATGGCTTAAACAGGGTAGAGTGAGGTAAACATGAGTTCTGTGATAAACATCAGTACTGAGGAGGAAGAATTAGCCCTACTGTGACCTGAGGAGCAGTTTTGAATAAGGCTCTATAAGATAAAAGATTTAACTTTTTAAGGGTGAAAGCCCTTTTGAAAGGTTTGAATGTGGCTTGTAAATCTGTATTGAATGTAGTACTAGGAGTTTTGAAAGCTTGCAACAAACCTTGGTGTACAAGAAGACTAATAGTTTGGATTTGCATTTTGGATTTTGTGCTGCTCATTTGATTGCCCTCTGCTAACCATTTATCAAAATTCAGTTGTATCTGTTCTCTTCTTTGACTTAAGTTTCTCTCATGTCTCAGGAAAACCTCAGCTCTCCCTTTCTTCCTGATACTGTTTGTAGGAACTTTTTAACACAGCTAGTGGGATTTTGTTGACTTTTTGAGAATAAGCAATGAATTAAATTGGTAAACTTGTGTGGAGAGTTTATAAATACAAATGTCTCTAGTCAATATATTAAGCTAGCTTTTTAGTCCCATGTACTGTCAAGTGTTCATCTTTAATGGTGATTTCAGTCTTTTTCAGTGTTTTTTTGTAGTGTCATGGACTAGAGATACTCTTCACCTGAAAATTCTCCTTCTAGATTTTAAATGTCTTTTTTTTTTCTTGTCAACAGAAGGGAGAATAAAATATTTCTGTCATTGCTAAATGTACTGTAAATTAATCTGTGCTTAGGTATAGGTTGGGTTTTTTTTCATATAACAGTATTATGGATTCCTTTGCTATCCTGGTGATAGACTCTGGATCCACTGAAAAAGCCCATTTGTGCAGCAGTGGTGTAACACTTACTGCTGTGGCAAGCCTTGGTTTAATGACCTCAGTGTTAGTAAAAGTCCAAGGGTGGATTCACTGTAGAATGGATCCTTATGCCTTTCCTCATAACTTTTGGAGTAAATGAGGCATTGACAATGTTTTGAAGTATGTAGTACCTAGAATATAATTAAGACACTGATGTTAAATGGCTTTTCCACAACTTGGCAAAACTGCTGATCAGAAAACTGAAACAAACATTTCACTAACCTGCAGAAGCTGACCTACCTTGTATTTAAGAAGTGCAGACCAGTTGTACTAATGTGGCAGCTCCACTCAAAGGACTTTTTTCAGGATCCATGCTAGAAAAGATTACTTGATTTTTGAGACCCAATGAAGAAGCATGAACTACTGTGATGTGTTTCTTGTAGAAATGCCAGTTGTCAGACTGATGTAGTCTAATGTGCGGTGGTGGACTGTGTCTGTACAACTAATGCTGAAGTGTTCCGGGCCAGGTTGGATGGAGTTCTGAGCATCCTGGTCTAAAGAAAAGTGTTCCTGTCCATGGCAGAGGCGTTGGAACTAGATGATCTTTCAGGTCCCTTCCAACCCAGGCCATTCTGTGATTCTCTGCCTATGTGTGTATATGCCTGCAATCCACTGAAAATTTCTAAAGTGAGCTGACATTCCAGGTATCTGTATAGGGATTTTCTTTTTTTTCCTTCTGTTTCCATATCTGAACTGTTTGTGGAAAAGGGATACAAAGCATACAAAAAACACTATAAAGAACTGTTAACCAATGAGTAGTAAGATGCATTGGTTTTGGATGTCCTATTGAATCTGGCAGATGAAAGGATGGGAGAGCAGCAGCCATGATTCTGAAAGCACACAGCGATCTAGAACTAAATGTAAATAGAAAGATTATTGAAACAAGAAAGATTATTGTAACAAGAAAAAGGTTGACATGCATTATGTGTAAGAGATCCTCCTTGTAAGCCCAGTCTACACCTGGTACGGATTTGAAAATGCCTTAGAGCTGTGTATCTGTAGTCCAGTTTGGGTTTTTAGGTTTAAAATATCTGATAGTCTCTGATAGCAGACAAAACAATATCAGGTGTGTACAGGTTTTCATATTTTATTGTTATTTTTTGAGGGGGGGGAAACTTTATGACCTTAAAAGAGCAACTTGTGTTAAAATAAATCGTTCTCTCCTTCCTCTCTTCTTTTTCTTTTTCTCCAGGATCCCGTCTCCGCCAGGAGGACTTTCCGCCCCGGATCGTCGAGCACCCTTCAGACGTGATAGTGTCTAAAGGAGAACCAACAACTCTGAACTGTAAAGCTGAGGGACGGCCGACCCCCACCATCGAGTGGTACAAGGATGGGGAGCGGGTGGAGACGGACAAGGACGACCCTCGCTCCCACCGCATGCTGCTGCCCAGCGGCTCTTTGTTCTTCCTGCGCATCGTGCACGGGCGCAGGAGTAAACCCGACGAAGGAAGTTACGTCTGCGTAGCGAGGAACTACCTGGGAGAAGCCGTGAGTCGCAACGCGTCTCTGGAAGTGGCATGTGAGTAGTTTTGTGCCATTAGCATTGTGTAAGACTTCAGAGTTGCTGTTATTCTGTCGCCCAGCATCCTGGGAGGTAACAAATGTGGGTAAATATGACCTTCTGTGAGTAGCTGCAGCTCTTAGTGAAGGCATTTTTACGTGTGTTTATTCGGTAGCAGTGACTGTACAGAAGAAGTGATTTATACTGAAATGAGGTTCTAGCTGGTGTATAAACATGATTGGCACAAACGTGGACAAAGGATAATTTTCCTCTGAAGAATAATCTAATTTTTAAATTATGCCTAAAGCTGGTTATACTGGAACTAATGTGGAAAAATACCTATCATTTAATCTAAGGTGCACTGTCTGTTTCTCTTTATCTCATCATCTGTTACCTCAGCAGAAGCAGACAGCTTCTTGGTGACTCATGTTCTGTACTGCTGGAAACCTCAATATATGCTCCTCTATCATGAACTTGATCCAGGCCTCATTCATTATGTCCATGGCAAGTGAAATTGTTGGCCATTTCTCATATCATCCAGAGCAACCCTAGTCTTTATCGATTCCCTTTGTCTCAACAGAGAAGTCGAAATGGCTCTTTCAGAGACCACCTGGCCTGCATGCTCTGCTTCCAGTACAGTTAGCAGACATGTTCGTTATCATTCACATAGAAAACAAGCTCATCAGACATAAAATACAATGAGTTGCACGTGGTTTTTTTTGCTGCTTAGTTATATGGGTTGAATAAACACTGATCTTTTTATTCAGAACGTGTATCTTCACGAAGAGGTGTGTTTTAGTAGATTTATGAATGCTCTCCTCTTGCTGGACTTAGTTTTTTTCCTCTCACAGCTCTTCATCTGACAGTGGTTTCACTGAGATATGTTTGAAGTAGGGCTTTAGCACAAACTTGTTTTGCTTAGTTGATAAAGAATGGATTTAAGTACACACTAGACAGTATGTTTTTTAAAGGGGGGAAGTACAGAAGAGAAATCTTTATTCCTGATGCCATCTGCAGACTTTTATAGCTAATGTGGTTTGATCTTGAGGCTTCAGTTTTCTCAGAAATTGCAGAAAATGCCATTTTTTAAATATTTAAATAGTGGAATAAGCCAAGTAGAACAGACTTTTACACTGCTTTTCACCTGTTGTAGCCTTGATTCAGAACTGTGTCAAAAAACGAAAACAGTTTTGGCACACCATCAAAGCACAAGTAAATGTACCAATTAAAGGTGTCACAGAAAGTTATTCAGTTTTGTAGGTATTTAGGAACTGAGGAGAAGATCAGTTTAAGGAAGGCTGAAATCTGGGTGAGTATGACTAGATAAAATTACTGGATTATTTGTGACTTTGTGCATGAGTTTTAACTGTCTGTTGAGAAATCCTAGGAGAGAGGCATAAACACTTGAAATCTTTATTGTAATCCTGCTGAGATTCAGAAATCTCCAGCCGAAGTTCAGAGGATTGTTCCAGTTGTACTTTGAGTCATCAAATTAAAGCGCCCGATTATTCTGAAATTTAAATGTGCTCTGTATCCTGTCAGTTTTCACTGATCCCTATTTCACTGCCTGCTGAGAGGCTCTTGTTACAACATCCGTGCTCTCTGGAGTTTGCCTAACAACTGTAGCTGGTGGCAGGTCATGCATGAACAGTGTGGGAGATAGGAGAAAACTTTAAATATAATAAAGCTGTGCTTCATTTTAGGGCAGGATCAACATGAACGTGAAACCTGAGCTGTGAAACCGTAGCTGAGGTTTTTGCAGTAGCAACATTATTATTTTACTGTTTTCATAGGTTTGAGATTTAACTGACTGAATCCCCCAATTAAATGGTTTAGCAGGCTAAAGTAGGCTCTCCTTTTTCACTTCAACAGTGCTTTATCTTTCCTTGGGCCATACTGTAGCTGCAATTACAGGAGGGTCTTCATCAAAGGAGAAAAATGTAAATAATATATACATTGCTCGTTCACTTAATTTTAGAGATTCTGCTGTGGTTTTTGCTCACTGACTTTAAAGCACGTCACAGTATTTGGCATGTATTGAAGGTGTCCTTTGGAGGATGATAGCAAAACTACCTCTTTTCCCTCGGTTTTGAGATGCTTTGTAATACAATTCTGGTTCTAAATCAGATTTTCAACTGACTTTCAGAGAAGAGTTATTTTAAGGCTCTTATTTGTTTTTCTCATGTCAGCATTTCTGGGCTGCAAAGGCTGGGCAAGTCTGCAGCGACCCATTTGCACGCTCAGGGAATGAGTTGCTGCTGACAGGCTGTTGTCAGCAGAGAGTCCCCATTCACCTGTTCTCAGCTGCTGCTGGAAACTGTTGAGTTGCCTGGATCCTGCAGTCTGGTCCATGGGAGGATGGCTGCCTGTGATGGCTCTGACTTGTGCTGTCTGTCATGGTGTTGAAAACTGTGCTTTCCACACTAGGCCAAGCTGTTTTCATCACCAGGGGAAAAAAAGATGGTTGTCCTTTGCTGACAACTGGGTTCTGGATTATTATCTGACTGCAGGTGGCCTGAAATTGTGCCATTAGAGACAAACTGCTGCTTTTTACAGGTTTAAAATACTTGAGTCTGCTGTTTTAGAGAGAGAATCTGTAATTGTTTTACTTTGTTAATTAAATTGTCAGTTGCCAATAACAACTTCTGAATGATTTATGAAGAAATATTTATTGGGTTTATGTATCTGTTAGATGTGTTCATGCCTAGGCATTAAGATAACAAACAGTGTTATTGTGCTTAATATCCTTCTATTTCCTTTTTTTTTTTTTTTTTTTTACCCCCTGCATGACACCTGCCACTAAAGCAGTGGGACTGAAAGTCTTCTGACATATCCATACTTCTGTGTAATACAGAAGTGACATTCAGCTGGGACACACAGTGATTCAGAGCAGAGTGTGACCCGTGTCGAATGCAATAATTTTGCCCATTGGTTTTTTTTGGAGTGAGTTTTTGCAAGTTGCTGAAATCCCTAAGCTCTTTTTGATTGAGTAGCAGTTAACACCTTTCCAAACCTGATGAATTTAGGCACCAGCCTATCCAAGGCATGGCACAGGCTTTTCAGAGCATGTTCATATAGTCCAGGGCAGATGCTTTTGTGCTGATGTGTATCCTCAGAAGAATTTGTCCGTGCCAGTGAAACTGAAAAGAATTGCGATCTGGAAAGTTACTTAAAAAGCTTCATCAATACACAGAATGTGCTTTTAGAATTTTTTTGCCTTCAATTTGGGAAGTCCTTATTCCAGAAGACATTTAAGAAGAAATAGTTGGTATTTAGAAGAAAAAGTTGGTATTTGAAGGCACAATTTAGGATTGATATGTAATTCTCTGATCTGACTTATTCTATTTAATTCTTTCAATGCATTAATTCATGGTGTGCTTTGAGCAGATTACTTTTTCAGTAGGAGCCTCCTCAAAAGGAAAAAAAATAATGCTATTACCAGCAGCAAACCCAGTCTTCTGATGTGCATGTGGCAATTTCTCATGTAGTGTTTCTGTTTTATGGTTAAATCATTAAAAATAAATGTTTTAGTCCTAAAGCATCTATGAATAATTGTATTCAGAAGAGTAAAACATCTTTTTTTTTTTTGTCTGTTAGAGTTATTTAATTGAAATTGAAAAGGGTTATTATTCCTAATAATTCCCAACCATTATTAGGAATATGTCGATGTTCAGATTTTCTTGGGAGGTTTTCAGAAAGGGAAGTAGACTTGAAGTAGTTAAATCTTCCCGGAAACATCTTTTGCATTTGAATGGCAAAAGTTTTAAAATGAAAGCGCGGGTTTTCACAGTGTACGAACTGACACGGCTGAACCCCCGTGGTGGGGCTGTGCAGTGGGAATATCAGGAAAGCCCTTCGCAGCAGTGCCGGTGGGTAGGGTTTCAGCTGCCAGCGCTGGGGCACCACGAGCGAGCGAGAGGAGGAGCGGGAGGGTCCCGCTCTGAGTCAGAGCCGCCTCCGCTCCGGGCTGAGTCAGCGGCGGCCCCCGGGGAGAGCAGCTGGAGCCCCAGGTGTGAAATATGTGACAGCAGCTTGATCTATCGACCACTGTTAGAGGGGGGCTCTGGCCTAAATGAAAATTCATGAAAAATTGATGAAGTCCCCAGATTATTTTTTTTCCCTTTTCCTTTTGCGGTGCTGGGCCAGTGCAGCGAGGAGAGATTAAATGAGGTGTTGAACGCTTTAGTGGCAAGGAGGTTGTGGTTCAGAGGTCAGTGGGGGAGGGGGAGAAGACACGTTTTCTACCTTACTTCCCTTTAAAAGAAAACATAAGGCTTTTCAGATTAGCTAGGATTTGCTGCCATTTCAATATACTAATAAAACTCAGGAATATTCACAAATAGGATTCTTTTCTGCGCGGGTTGGCAGAGGCGAGGAGTATGTGGGTTGGTGAAAGCAGAAAGCAGTGGAAGGCTCTGAGTCATAATTCAATTGGAGAACCAGAAATAGATTGAATTTTGTAATGGCAGTATAAATTTGGGCTTCCATCTTTCTGAGCCTGTGCTTGAACTGAAGTCATTTGGAGAAAGAAGAGGTCTTGCATTATTTATATGCCAAAGATTGCTTGAATAGCAGGCTTTGGAACACTCTCCAAACATAATGATCCTGCTTATGTTAGATTCAAAACTGAATTATGTTTTTATCTGTAACAAGAGAGGTTATAGTAGTACACAGAGTTTAGTGTGAAGAGTCATAGGTGTATTGCAAAGCAAGCATAAGCCAGATCTTAAACATGGGAGACAGTAATTTTGCAAATAAACAAGATATGTTTTAATGTTCAGTGAATGAAGGCTGAGAGGTATAAAATATATGCTGTGCAATCACATCTGTATCATAATGCTAATGACTGTTTGCTGCAGCATGTGCAAAAGGCTGCAGTATGTTCATAAGAATGGAGTTGTTAATTTAATTTGAGATATCCAGTGAAAAAAGAGCACAGTGTATGTGACTAAAATGGGTGGACTATTTTTTTGTCTAGTTTCTGTTCGATGTATGACTTAAATAGTAAAATTGTTATT